TCTGTGGAGGAAGATATAAAGGAGACTAATCAGCTGGGCCAGGCAAGGGTCAGGGGGGCTTAAAAATAACTGAGTAGAGCTAGTGCTGAGGCCCAGGTCCCTGACTAGGACTGGCAGAGGTTGGGGAAAAGTGGGAAGTAAGGAGATGCTAATGAGGAGACAAAAATATAAAGTAACAATCCATATAACACGACTTTTATCCCTGTTTATGGAGCAGCTTAGTAACAACAGGATAAACATGAATTTTCTCTTGTTGAAAGTTTTCACACAAGGTTGTTAGCCCATCTGCTAGGAAATTTGCCTTGGTTGAAAATAGCGCTTGGATATTAATTTCAATATTTTAAGATTCTGTTAATTTAAAGAAAAAATTAAATCCTTGAAGTTACTTTTTTGATAGCCACTTTATGGTCATAGTATCTTGATAGTCTAAAACAAATGATATTCTAGAATTTCATATGCATGTTAGGTGTGATCTGAAGTTGAAAGTTTTAGTTTCAAAATCTTCCTTACATATTACTTCAAGGGGCTATTTCTCAGTTGCGTGGTTGTTGTTTTATTTTAATCATAGAAGCACTCTCATATTAATTGCAGATAAAACCAATTCCCATCAAATTTGATGAGACATTTCATTTGTACTGCTTAATTACAGCATTTCTTTGCTTTATTTGCCCTATGTATTTAAATGTTTTTCAGTAGGAGAGAGCTTCAATAATTGATACTTGAGGCAGATGAAGCCGATTGGTGTGTTGACTTAGTCAGAAAGCTGACCAGTCCACAGGAAATTGCTGGACTTATGTAAATTGACCATGTGTTTCTAAGGAGACTGTTGATCCAGTGCTGTCCTCCCTCTACTCTCACCACATGATGTCTTTGTTTTTCAGCCTGTTAAGACCTTCTTGGTAATACTGTTAATTTGTTCATCTGTGAGGCAGTTTTTTTTCTCCTGTTTTGTTCTCTTGTGAGGAGAGAACTGACTCTTGCACACACATGCATATATCACACACACAAAAGAAATAGTAATAAATGCAAATGTAACAGAATGTATTTTCTGTAATCTTTGAATGTTTGAGATTTTCCTATTCTAGGAGGCAATAATTTATTCTTGATCCTGTATAATCATTGCATGTATATACAAGTATTTATTGTATACTTGATGGTGTTTGGTTGTTTCTAGCCTCACTAGTATGAACAGTGCTGCTGGGAACAGTACTTCTCATGCGTAGGTGTATGTAAGTAAGCATTTAAGCTCTATGCAGAGGGGAAGATCACATAAGGATACTTGGATATTCAGCTTTAGTAAATTGAATAGTTTTACAAGTTATTCCAATTTATAGGTCTACCAAATTGTACCAGTTTAAGTCCCATTTAATTCTAAGATTTTGTTCCTGCATCTTCTAACAACTCGATATTGCCAGCTTTTTCAGAGTGATGGTATTTTGTCATGTTTTTAACTTAACCATGTCCCTGATAATTAGTAAGATTAAACATATTTTCCTCTGCTGATTGAATATGTTAGAAAAATATTCTTTTATTTTTTGGTCTTTTTTTGAGGCAGGGTCTCCCTGTAGCCCCAGCTGTCCTGGAACTCACTATGAAAACCCGGTTGGCCTTGAACTCACAGAGATCCACCTGCCTCTGCCTCCTGAGTGCTGGGATTAAAGGTGTGTGCCACCACACCCGGCTGATTTCTAGAATTTTAATGCAAAAATTTTGATCTGGCATCTCAGCAGGCTAGATTGCTGTCTCATTTATGTGAATTAAAGAGATGAGCAATTGTGAGAACCAGAGAAAAGAAAAGAGATTTAATATTCATCAGAAAGAGGAACAGAAGTCCCCATGCCCATCTTTGGGCTACTTATAGGAACTTTAGGTTTAAATAAAGGAAGAATGGTGATGGGTGGAGACAAGAGGTGTGCATAGGTAAGCACTGCTGATCAAAGTGTGGTCTGCTTGATTATTATCTCACTTCTGGTTCTGCTAGCTGGTCAGAGGAGCCTTACTACTCCAGGGGACAAGCTGCTTCTTAGGAGATAATTAGTCATGCTCCAGGATGTTGCCTTGCCATCATGGATAATTATTCTCATCTGGGGCTTGGTTTGTCTTAGGTTCTATTTCTGGGCTCCAAGAGGGCTACAGGTTTAGGACATGGACTGGAGACTTTTAGGTACCTTTTTGGGATCTGGAATAGGACATTATAAAAGCTGTGACAGTAAGATGCCTCAGGTACTCTTACCTTTGTGCTTTCATCCTTGAGGGTTAGGTATTACTGGTTTCTACATAGTGATTAAAATGCCTATGTGCTGAGTAAATGAGTAGTGCAGTTGCACAGTGAAGGGAGAGAGATTCCAGGCTTTTATCCTAGTTACCTAGTTACCTTGTGGGTCCCAGTGAGGAATAATTGTTTTTTAGCAAAACAGGTTCTGAGTGCCTTTTACTAAACTATTATTTTCAGATGAAAAATATTGATACTAAAGTCACATGTATGTAGAAGATACATCTATTAGTAAAATAAATTTTACCAAATTTTCTCATATTTAAAAACCATGTTGATAAATAAATTATTACTATATTTAAAACATAGAAATCTAACTTTATCTACAGGTGGACAGTGTACTTCAAAGTTCATTTATTATCAAGTTACAAAGCATAGTTAGATCTTTATTTCAGAACTAAGCAGGAAAACGTATGCTTTAAGTGTGGCCTTAATTGTGGCCTTTTTTGTAGCGTTGGGATTTCCAGTTTTCTTTCATCCTGCTTGGTTATTTAATTCCTTTCTCTTCCAGAGATGTGTTTGTAAACTGGTAGTGGAAAAGAGCCATGGGGAGTAATTTCTAGATGCTTAAGACAAGAAATATTTAAAATAATTGTGTTTCTGTTAATGCAGACACTTTGGAGGTTAGTCCTTCTTCAGAAGAGCTAAAACATTTTCTTAGATGTGGTCTGAGTACCATGTCTGAAGAGACATGCAGTATTTGTTGTAGGGACCAGAGAGATGACTCAGTGGTTAAGAGTACACATTGCTCTTCCAGAGGACCCAAGTTTGGTTCCTAGCATCCACGTGGTGGCTCACAGCCACCTATAACTCTGGGGGATCTGACTCCCTCTTCTGGCCTCAGGCACCCACATACCAGTGATTCACGAAAATAAAAGTGCCTTTATAGAAAACATATTTGTTGTAGTACTATTCTAATATATAAATATAGGATTATTCGATTTAAGTTTTATCACTGAATGAACCAAAATACTTAAAAAAAAAATACAGTCTCACAGTGTAGGCCTGGCTGGCCTGGCACTTACTGTGTAGACAAGCTGACATCAAACTCGGAGGTTTGCCTGCCTCTGCCTCCGCCTCCAGAGTGGAGTGTTAGGATTAAAGGCATGTGACACTAGTCTGCCCTCAAAATGCTTATAAAAACTGACCAAGAGCTGGGTATGGTGGCGCATGCCTTTAGTCCCAGCACTTGGGAGGCAGAGGCAGGCAGACCTTTGTGAGTTCGAGGCCAGCCTGGTCTACATAGTATGTTCCAGGACAGCTGGGGTTACAGGGAGACACCATCTCAAAAATACACCCCCCCAAAAAAAAAATTGACTGAGAACAAAAATGATTAATATGAAACCGATTGGTTTTGGATTTTGTATGCCATATTATCTTTCTAAAATCTTGGTAATGTATTTTGAATTATAATGGAAAGACTTGTGTGCTATCTTTTGGCATTGAGACTTCAGGTATGGAAGTAGGGCAGAATTCTTGGTGTAAGAGGTATGTATAGTAATGGTGGCACATACATGTTATCCCTGCACTTAGGAGGCTAAAACAAGAGGATAGAGATGTCAACATATATATAGCCTTGGCTACATAATATGACCCTGTATCAAAAAGGCAATGTGGGGCTGTAGCTGAGTGGTAGGACCTCTGCTGAGCACACACAAGGTCCTGGATTCAATCCCTAACACTACAAAACAAACACAACTCTTACCTGAAAAGAGTAAATTTAAAGGATTACTTAAAAAGTAGTACACTCCAGGAGGTCCTTTGACCCCAGCACTCAAGGACTACCTGGTGTACTGTACACAGAGTTCCCAGGACAACCCAGGCTACACTGGGAGACATATCTCAAAGAAAGAAATGAGGGGAGGAGGAAGGGGGAAGGGAAGGAGAGGGAGGGAAAGGTGGGTACACTCCAAAGATAATTTTTAGGATTAATGGTGCAAAAATAACTAATTAAAGAATTTGGCCAGTATATGTTTAAATTGTCTTTGTGTTCTGTTTTCAAAAATGGGTATTAAAAGTCAAGATTCTTAGAATATATAAACAGATTATTTGAATGTAGATATATTTAGGAAAGGTATCAAAATTGTTGTCTCTTAAATGTTTCAACATCTTAGATGATGCCTCCTGAGTGCTGGGATTAAAGGCATGCGCCACCATGCCCCGGCCTGTTGTTGATTTTTTAAAATAATTTAATTCGATGGGCATGGTGGCACACTCCTTTAATCCCAGCACTTGGGAGGCAGAGGCAGGCGGATCTCTATGAGTTCAAGACCAGCCAGGTCCACATAGTGAGTTCCAGGGCAGCTGGGGCTACAGGGAGACCCTGTCTCAAAAAGACCCCCCCCCCAAAAAAAAAGTAATTCATGGAATGTGCTGTAATTTTTCCTTATCACATAGTTTGTTTCCAACCTTAGATTTTGTTATTCTCAAGGACTTTCTTTTAAATAAATGCTAAAATAAAATATTAAACTTTTAATTTTTATTTATTCTTTTTTTTTTTTTTTTGGTCTTTTTGAGACAGGGTCTCCCTGTAGCCCCAGCTGCCCTGGAACTCACTATGTAGACCAGGCTGGCCTTGATCTCACAGAGATCCATCTGCCTCTGTCTCCCGAGTGCTGGGATTAAAGGTGTGTGCCACCATGCCCGGCTACTTTTAATAATTTAATAGTATATATAAATCATTACCTAAAACCTGTTTTATTAACTGAGCATTGATTTTGCTTTTCAGCGGGGATCTGATGAGCTTCTTTCTTCTGGTGTCATTAACGGACCTTCTACCATGAACAGTTCTACTTCTGCAGGTGTGTATGGTGAGTTTTCATTTTTTCCCAGATACTTCCTTTCCATGGGCTTTAATATCATTTTCATTGTTCTTACGTGCTATGGTTTATAGTAAAAGTCCTGTGTGAGAACATAGGAGAAGTGGAAACCGTCAGCTAAGGAAAAAAGATGGAAAAAATTTAATTCAGAGAAATTTAATGCCTAAGAATTGGTCCCCTCCAAAGAATTTTAAAGGGGGAACTAGGCTGGAAAGATAGCTCAGTAATTAAGAGCACTGGTTGCTCTAGCAGAGGACTTGGTTTTGGTTCCCATCTACATTGTAGCTAATGACCATCTATAAATCTAGTTCCAAGGGAATCGAGGTCCTCTTATGGCCTCTGCAGGTATTGCATGCACACGTGCACTTACATATATACAGGCAAAACACTCATACGTATAAAATGAAAATTGGAACAATTCTTTCTTAATTTTTAAAAAAATATATTTTATTTTTATTTTATGTGTGTGTATTGCCTGTGTGTAGGTAAGTGCACCCTTGTCATGCAATGCCTGTGGAGGACAGAAGAGGCTGTTGGATCCCCTAGAACTGGAGTTACGGACAGTTGTTAGCTGCCATGTGGGTGCTGCGATTTGAACCCGAGTCTTCTGCAAGAACAACCAGTGTTCTTAACCGCTGAGCAATCTCTCCAGCCCCTCTTTTTTAATTTTTAAAAATTGTTTCCACCAACTTGTATAGCCATCTGAAAGATTAATTAGAAAGATTTTGTAGACAAGGAATTCATTAATGTGAACATGTGAATAGAATAGTATGGGCATTGAGACTAAAGCAGACTTAAAGCTGATCTCACATTAGAAGCACTGGAGAAGGGCCTGGGGAGATAGTTCAGTGGTTGCTGTGCAACCATGAGGACCTGAATTCAGTACTCAGAACCCACATTAAAGCGGGACTTGGTGGCCAGGTCTAACCAAAACTGAGAGTTCTGTATTCAGTTGAGAGAGCCTTTCTCAGAAAATGGAGAGTAATAGAGGAAGACACATAAAATCCACCTCTGTCCTCTATAACATACGTGTGGGTTAGTTTGTGCATGTGTGTGGATATAACACATACTTAGGAATACATGAATAAATAAATAAAAGAAAGGAGAGGAGAGGAGAGGGACGAAGAGGAGGAGGAAGAATAGGAATGAATTACTGGAGAAGCTTGTTAAAACACAGTTGTTGTTGGGTCTAAAATATAACAAAACCACATTGCAGCAATGGGGTTTGGAGGCAAATGCTTATAGTCCCAGCTTCTCCTAACCATACTCTAGGCTGAAGCAGGCAGATAGCAAGTTTGAGACCAGCTTGAACAATTTAAGATTTCATTTCAAAATAAAATAAGTAAGGCCTCTGATCTTGGGCTTAATTGCCAGTACCATGAAAACAAAAGGAAACAATTGTTGGGACAGTTCCCTGATTCAGTAGTTCTGGTATATATCGTAATCATTTGTATTTCTACAAGTTTCCAGGAACTTGAGGGTTTTAAAAAATTATTTTTATTTTATGTATATAAATGTTGGTTTGCATGTATATAAGTGCACCCATGTCACAGAGGCCAGAAGAAGGTGTAGGATCCCTGGGAACTGGAGTCACAGATGGTTGTTAGCTCCCATGTGGGTGCTAAGAACCAAACCCAAGTCCTCTGTAAGAGCAGTCAGTGTTCTTAACCACCAAGCCATTTCTTCAGCCCTGAATTTGAGGATTTTAAGCCTGATTATTTTCTTAATCTGGTGGGTTTAAAACACTTTTCTTTTTGTGGGTTGGGGACATAGTTCAGTGGTAGATCACTTGCCTAGCATGTGTAAGGCCCTAGGTTCAATCCCCAGTACATCAAAGAAACAAAATTCTGCTTGTATTCCCAGGTTGCAGTAATCCTTGTGGAGGTCAGGTATTTGTTTTTATTTTAAAACCTCCGTCTACTAAATTTGCCCTTGAACTTCAAACAAACAACAGAAAACCCCTCTGGTTACTTTGTGTGTCCAGTTCTGCTTATGAATTAATGGGATAGATGATCAGAAAGACTTATATTCTGGGTGATTACTTAGGAAAAGAAAAGTAAAAGCCTTAGTTTAACAACAGTTTTATTGTGCTCTGTTTTTTTAATTTGTGTGGGTGTGTGTGTCTGTCTGTCCGTCCGTCTGTGATGGGGACAACTTTTGGAAATCTGTTCTGTCCTTCAGCTGTGGATTCCAGGAATCTAATTCAGTTTATCAGTCTTGTTGGCAAGTACTTTTACCTATTGAGCCATCTTGCAGGCCCATAGGTCATGTTTAGTTTTCACGTTTTGAATTTCTTGTGCGTCTTAGTCTACTTTAGGTCCAGTATATCATCTGGGGTATAGTTCTGTAAGTGGTAACTCAAACTTTTACTTAAAATTTGTATTTTACTACCACTACTGAATGATAGTTGACTGTTGAATTCTAGGTTACCAGTAACTTCCTCAGCACTTTGTAGGTACCATTCATTTTTCTTTCAGCTTCTGTTGTTGAATAGTCTGCTATGTAGGTTGATATTTTTTTTTACATGTAGTATTGTTTCCTTCTAGTTATTTTAGTATTTTTTCTTTGTTTTTGTTCTGTGGTTTCTCGTCCTATGTCTGCATATGGATTGCTAATCTTCAGCTATGGATGTCCCTTGTATTATTCTTCTCATTGCTGTGACAAAAGCAACTTAACAATGGAAGGGTACAGTCCATCATAGTGGGAATGGCTTGAAGGGATAGCATGGGTGGCTGGTCCTACTGTGTCAGTAGTCAGGAAGCAGAGAAAGATGAATGCTAGTACTTAGCAATTTTTTCCTTTTTACTCAGTCCAGGAACACAGCTTGTGGAAAGGTACAGCCCACATGCAGGGTTGGTCTTCCTCCCTCAGCAATGCCTCCTTGGAAAGCCTTCATAGACAGTATCCACGGGTGTTTTTCTGGAATGACAATGAAAATTAACTATCATACTCCTCAAAATAACCTGGGAAGCTCTGAAAATCATGCAAATGGCTTCACTTCCCCTGTAGCAGTTTTGAAATTAAGGGTGGGAGATTTTGCCGCCCCCTCCCCCCTTTTTGGCCTTTTTGAGACAGGGTGTCTCTGTAGCCCCAGCTGGCCTGGAACTCACTACGTAGACCAGGCTGGCCTTGAACTCACAGAGATCTGCCTGCCTCTGCTTCTCAAGTGCTGGGATTAAAGGCGTGTGCTATCACGCTCAGCAGAGATTTTTGCTCTTCATCTTTGTATTAGTCACTTTTCTGTTGCTGTGATAGAAACACTGACCCAAGCAATTTATAGAAGGAAGAGTTTATTTGAGCTTACAATTCCAGGGGAATTACAGTCCATCATGTCAGGGAGGTGTGGTGGCTAGAGCAGGCTGGAGCAGGGGCAGCAGAAGCTAAGCTCTCACATCATCACACAGGCACAGGAAGCAAGAGAGCGACTGGAGATCTAGCAAGGCTTAAGAACTCTCTAAGCCCACCCCCAGTGACGGGCTTCCTCCAGGTTAGCCACACCTTCTAAAACCTCCCAAAACAGCGCCATCATCTGGGGATAAAATGTCCAAATACTTGGAGCCTTTGGGGGACATTTTCATTCAAACCATCAGTCTTTAAAGCTTTAAGTGGTACACCAAGGTATAGCTAGGCATGAACACCATTGTTGGAGCCTTTATATATAGCCTGCCCAGGAGTGATCTAACTCTCCCCAGAATTTCCTGTACTAGAATTCCATTTAAACCTATATAGGGCCAGTTCATCTGTCCTGCTTGGTCTTAGCCTCGCTTGCATATTTTGCCATCTCTTTGGAATTTTTTGGTTGTTATTGTCGTTTGTTTTGAGATAAGATTTCACCATGTAGCTCTGGCTTAGAACTTGCTGCAAAGACGAAGCTGGCCTGGAACTAAGAGATCTGCCTGTCTGCTTCCCATGTGAAGTGCTGGGATAAAAGATGTGCAGCACTATCACTGGCCCACAGCCCCACCACTCAGGAGGCAGAAGCAGGTGAATCTCTGAGATTGAGGCCAGCTTGGTCTACATAGGAAGTTCATAGTACTATAGGGGGACACTGTCTTAAAAAGCTCCCCGCCAAGGCTATGTTTTGAATAACTACCTTAGAATAGTTTTCTTAGTCACTTATCTCTTTAACCTTCTAATTTACTGTTGAATTTCTCCATTGAATATTCTATTTTATAGTTTATATTTCCCTTTTCTCCATATCTCTTTTTTTTTTTTGTCAAGGGGTGTAAATTTTTCTTACACACACACACACACACACACACACACACACACACACACATACTTCATCTCTCTTATCCCTTCCATCCCCCTGCTCTTCTCAGCTAGAGTACTTTACTTGTGAGTCCCTTCCCACTCTGCTCTCGTGTAGGAAGTCCTGACAGTTCAAGAGTGCAGTGGCTGTGTCATGCCTAGAAAATGGCATTCTACAACACTCCAATCTTTCCTTTGACTCTTACACTTTTTTCGTTGTTGTTTTTGTTTTGTTTTTTAAATAAATAAACAGGGTTTCCCTGTAGCCCCAGCTATCCTAGAACTCACTATGTAGACCAGGCTGGCCTTGAACTCACAGAGATCCGCCTGCCTCTGCCTCCCAAGTGCTGGGACTACAGGCATGCGCCACCACACCCAGCTTAATTATTTTTATTTTATGTGTATGAGTGTATTGCCTGCATGTGAATAAGTGCGCCCATGTAACGCATTGCTCACAGAGGTCAGGAAAGGGTGTCAGATTTCCCTGGCACTGGAGTTAGGACAATTGTTAGCTGCCACGTGGGTGCTGGGAATCGAACTCCGGTCTTCTGCAAGAGCAGCCAGTGCTCTTAACACCTGAGCCATCTCTCCAGCCCCTATTATTATTTTTTTTACCGCTCAGGCACATCTCCAGTGCTGTTTGATTCATTTTTTTAAAAAATATTATTTTTATTTTATGTGTATGAGTGTATTGCCTGCATGTATGTGAGTGCACCCATGTCGTGCAGTGCCACGGAGGT